AAAAGGGCCCTCCAGCCTAAGTTGGCACCCCCAGTTGGCACCCTTTGTTGGCACCTTAAGTTGGCACCCCCAGTTCGCACCTTTTGTTCGCAGGCACGAGTCGCCCCCCGGGACGCCCCCCCAGGGCGCAAAGGGGCGGGTTTCCTTTGCCGCCCCGGCCTTTGCCGCCGCTTCGGAGCCCGTTGCCACCTTTTTCGGCGGTTTTTTCCCCCCCCCCCCTTCCCCCCCTCCCCCCCCCCCCCCCCGCCGCCACCGACACCGTCTCCGCCACCGCTGAGCCAACCACCCTTGCCGATGGCTCTCCCGCACCGTCCCCTCCCCTGCACCCTTCCCTGCACCCTTCCCTGCACCCTTCCTGCAGGCGTGCAGCTCTGCTGCGGGAACCTTCCTGGACAGTTCTTGGACCCTTCCTAGACCGCTGCTCGAAGCGCCTATACGTAGGCGCGCAGCCGTCGCGCGGGAAGCAAAGCGCCTCTTCCCGCTCTTTGCGCCGCTCCGTCGCGCGCTCGCGGCACTTTGCAGCACGCGACAGCGGTGCCGCCCACGGCATTGTCTCTTGACTGGTCGGAGAGGCTTGCTTTAGGCCCACTTCAACACCACCGCCGACCGCGTCATCTTTGGGGGCGACGACGGGGTCTGGGAGCCTAGCTGCTGCATGGACTTGCGTGCGCACTCTGGCCACGAGGGACACCAAGAGGGCTTTCCTGGACCTTTCCTCGACCTTTCCTCCACCTTGCCCAGACCTTTCCTAGACCTTTCCTAGACCTTTCCTAGACCTAGAACACCGCTAGAACACCCGTGGCAGGCCAGAGCAGATCAGAGACACTCCGAGTACGCAACACACTCCGAGTGCGCAACACGACCCCGTCTCCCCCCCCTCCCCCTCCCCTTCACCTCCCCGCAACTCATGCACTAGGGCTGGGAGCGGCTCGGCGCGCCGTCGGTCCAGGTCTACTTGCCGAACATGCTCTGGCACACGGTGCACAACAGGCGCACCGACGCCGTTCGTGGAGATCGATGACCCGTAGTCGTGATCCGTCTGAGTCAGTACACCACACACAGCAGGCATGGCGGCGTGAGGCTGTGAGCAAGCGTGAATAGGCACACCGACGCAGTCTACGTGCGCCACCTGCGCCGCTACCTCGGAGGCCCGCGTTTCGACGAGCTGCGCTGCTCTGCCGCCACCGCCACCTCCTTCCTGCTGCCGCTGGTCGCCCCGGCCGGTGCGGAGAGAAACTCCCGAGACACCTCCGAGACACCTCCGAGACACCTCCGAGGCACTTCCCGCACACCGCGTCGCATCCGCGCCCACGTCTCTCGTGCCGGCTCCACACCTCGCTTCCCACATGCCGCACCCGCGCTGTCGGCCAGATGCCCCTCTGCCCACTCTGCCCACTCCCCCACTCGTTTTGCGCTGCCTGCCCGTGCCCCGCCCTCTGCACCCCCCCCCCCCCCCCCCCACACCCAAACACACTCATTCCCTTGTCAGGCGCCGGGCTGCTCTACTACGACGCGCCTCGCGGGCAGATCTCGGAGAACGAGCACAGGTACACAGTGGGGACGCTGCACGCCTTTGCGGTCTGGACCCCCCACTCGATCCGCCCATGGCCGTACCGCGAGTGGGCCGCGGGCGAGGCGCGCGTCACCGTGCAGACGTTTGGGATACGGTGTGGCGAGTGGTGGGTCATGTACCACTGAAACCCATATTCACAGACCTTTTGTTGTGCGGAAGGAGAGAATCCGCTCTCCTATTGCTAGAGGATTATTGGAACTTTGGATGCATATCGGCAAGCCAAAATAACGAGCTTGAGAGGCTGTCCCCTGGTGCGTGAGCGGGGGTGAGCTAATCCTGAGCAACAAAATATAAGCGACTGTACGGCTTTATCACGGAGCACAGAACGCAGCAGACAGGACGGCGGCGACGGCGGACATGGCAGAGACGAGTGTGAGACAAAGGGCGGCGGGCATGGAGGGCGGTAGCGACGGGGATGGTGACGGTGACGGTGGCGAGGGAGAGGAAGGGGGTCCATTAACACCAGACAGCGAGAGGGGCAGGGAGGAAAGGGGGAGAGAGGAAGCCAACGGCGATGCCACCAGCAGCAGGGGACACGATGAACAGGTAGGTAACGGCCAAGGCGATGGCGAGGACGAGGAGACACGGGACGATGGCAGGCGAGACGAGGAGGACGGAGGCGAGGGCAGAGGCAGCGCCGCAGTCGACGGAGGCGACAACGATGGAGATGGAAAGGGAGCGGCGACATGCGCAGAGGATGAGGATATAAACTGGGACGACGCAGCGAAGGGGATAGGCGAGGGAATCGAGGGGCCGGAGGGCTTTCGCGACAGCGACGATGACGACGAAGGAAGGGGAGAAGACGGAGGGGCGACACGCAGGAGGAGCGAAATCGCGAACGGCCCGAGCAGAGAGGGCGACGGCAGGGCACGAGGGGGCAACGGAAACGCTACCAATGACGCGAACCGAGGCACGGGCGACGGTGGGGTCGGGGGAGGGCGACAGCGACGTCGAGGTTGACGCAACGGTATCGAGAGCGCCACCCAAAAGGAGGCGGACAGCCATGGAGGTCACCGAATAGGGCGAACGGCGCGATACGAAAAGGCCCAGGGCGAGGCGGATGGAGAAAGAAGTGCCGAGGAGGCCATGGTGGAGGGGAGGGACGGGAGGACGAAAGAAGGGCGAGGAGGACGAGCGGCCCGCACAGACCGCGAGCAGACAGCGCCTGCTGGCCATCTCGAGACATTCGCAAAGAACGCTAGCTACGTGGGAGGGCTTCGTGAAGGATGGATTGAAAAACATTCGAACAAAGAAGAGGCGACGGGAGGAACCGGCGGAGGATGCAGTGACGTGACACACACACACACACACACACACACACACACACACACACACACACACACACACACACACACACACACACACATACGTCGTCTGAATCGCTCGGGGAGAGGAGCTACGGTCATTCCCCACGCAATTGCGTTCGACGACGTCGAAAATTGATACATTGTACGACGACGTAGGTAGGTAGGTAGAAAGGTGAAGAACAGCCAGGCTCGGACTGGACACCAGCGCGTCGAACACGATCCAGTACTCGAGTAACCGCTTGCTTGTAGGTATGTTTGCCAGTAAGTAACCGCTGGGTTTTCACGTAACTCGCACACGACCACCACCACCCCAGATCGACAGAAAAAGAAAGAAAACAAACCCAGGGGAGGTCGACAATCAACCCCACGTGGGAACGCCGAAAATAAAATCGAATAAAAGAATTCTCGGCTCGACTCTCTGCCAGTGCGAGCGGCAGGCCTCCATCCCTCCCTCACCATCCCGCCGTTTACACGTTCCTGGCCGAGGTGGAGCACAATCATGACCGCTGACGTCAGCGTGGTGCTACCGTGTGCGTACGAGTACGAGTACGCCGCGCGGACAGTCAGGTCCGTGTCGGCGGCGACGCCACCCGAAATCTTGCGCGAGATAGTCGTGGTCGACGACGGCAGCACGCCTCCGCTTCGCATCCCCGAGCCGGCGCGGTGGAAGGCCTTCGTGGTTCGCCTCGAGAAGACGGGCGGCCTCATTCGCGCCCGGATCGCCGGCGCTGCGGCGGCGACGGGCGCCGTCATCGTCTTCTTTGACTGCCACGTCAGGCCGATGGACGGGTACTGGCGCGGGCTACTCGCGCCGATCGAGGCAGACTACCGCGTCGCCACTGTCCCGACCGTCACCAGGCTGGATGCGGCGACGTGGCAGCCCGTCGGCAGCCCCACGAGAGGAGGCGCAAAGTGCTACCTCACCTTTGACACCGACTTCAAGTGGACGTTCGACGCGACGGACGACGTGCCCATCATGAGCGGCGGGCTGGTCGCCATCAGTCGCCGCTGGTGGAACGAGACGGGCGGCTACGACAGCTCAATGCTCGGGTGGGGCGGCGAAAACATCGACCTCTCCCTGCGCATCTGGCGCTGCGGCGGAGCCATCAAGGCCGCCAAGGAGTCGTACGTCGCGCACATGTACCGGGAGCCGGGCAAGCCCAAGACGGCGGCCCGCTTCCGCGTGCCGAAGGGTGCGCCGACGCGGAACCGCGCCACGTCCGCCCGCGCGCACTTTGGGCGGCTGTGGGCCAAGACGGCGGCGTTCCCGCTCTTTGAAGCGCACCGTCTCGCGCCACCCGACACGTCAAACATCGAGCGGTGGGCAGGATACGGGACACGTCCACATGAACACGCCCACGACACGCCCACGAACACGCCCACGACACGCCCACGACACGCCCACGACACGCCCACGACACGCCCACTTGTATGCCTTCCGACAGCATGTCCCGGAAGCTTCCTGACATGTCCGGAGCCCTCCTCTAGGGCGCTGGCGTCGCTGCGCTGCCAATCCTTCGAGTGGTCTCCACCATCTCCCCGCATCTCCCCACCTCTCCCCCCCTCTCCCCACCTCTCCGGCGTGCACTACAGGTGCCTGCGCAGCTTCGCGTACATCTACCCACAAAAAAGAAATCGCGCTGCGAAAAAAAGAAACCGTGCACCACAGGTACCTGCGCCGCTTCGCGTACATCTACCGCGACGCGGGCGTGCTGCCCGGCTCCATCTTCCAGCTCGAGGGCGGCGGCCGCACATGCCTGTCTTCGACGACGGCCGAGCCGGTGATTCCGCGACACGCCCACGACACGTCCACGACACGTCCACGACACGCCCACGACACGTCCATGTCACGTCCACGACACGCCCACGACACGCCCACGACACGCCCACGACACGTCCACGACACCGCCCACGACACGCCCACGACACGGCCATCTCTCGCCCACGACCGTCCCTGCTTGATGGCCTCAGGTCCGCGGGATGGGGCAGGCCTACCCGGAGGCACTACGGGCGCTCCCCTGCAATGCGACTGACCCGCGGCAGTGGTGGCACGAGTCGAACCGCAACGAGACGGGCCGCTGCTGCTCTGGGCTGCGCCTCTGGAATGCGGGTGAAGCCAGCAAACGCAAGCCCTCCAGACGCGCAACCTCGGCGCAATCTCGACCGCATCTCGATCGCATCACCCTCTCGCCCGCCGCCAGCCGTGGGCACATTCTCTTCCCCTCTCTTCCCTCCCACCAGCCCACCCCCTCCGCACCCACTGCCAGCATACTCGCCCGGCACCTGTTCACGGCTAGAGGTGTGAAGAGACGCTGTTCACACCACCCAGGGAGTGCAGCATACTCGCCCGCCGAGTCGCCCTCCTTGCCCGCGCCCTCTCCCGCTCCCCTGTAGAGCTCTGCATCCAGAGGGCGGGGCGGCTGCAGCTGTGCACGGCCGAGGGGACGAACGCGGCACAGCACGTCCGCCTCACCGCCGCCGGCCGCCTACGCTTCACGCGCTTCGACGACGTGTGCCTCGACCGCTCCGGCAGGCCGGCGAGCTGTGCGGCGGCCGGCTCCTTCCGCCGGCGCGGCCGGCACGCCCCTCTCGAGTTTACGCTCCTCTCGGCGGAGCTGCAGCGCAGCTTTGCCGGCCAGCGCCACGGTGACCGTCGCCGCACGCCCCGCCAGCGGCCTGCTGGAAGCACACGCTCAGGCGGCGGCCATTTGATTCGAGATGCGCGTCTACCGGCCGGGACCGGGAGGGAGGGGGTCCTTCGATCTGTACATCAGTAATTCCGTGATTTGTCCGTTTAAACTTTCTTCGTGGGGCAAGTGGAGTGCCCACAAGAAGGTGCACTCAGGCATCGGCCGGTGACGTACACTACTCTCTGCAAGGGCCGGTGCCGTAACCACCCCATTAACCAGCTTGCAGCTACGAGCGACCAGCGCCACGCCCCTCGTCCCGTGGCCTCCCGCGCCCACCCCGCCCACCCCGTCCACCGCGCCCACCGCGCCCACCGCGCCCACTGCGCCCCCCTCGCCCACCGACCGCCGTCGTGGCGCCCGCGGGCTGTGCGTGGGGCGCAGTGCGCGAGGGCGGCTGGTGGACAAACGTCACCTGTGCTGCCACCTGCGTCCCAGTTGCGGCGATGGGCAGCGCCGGCTGGCGGCAAGCCGGGCAGTTGGTGTCGCGCTCCAGCACGCGCGGCGCACACGTCTCGCAGTACAGTGCGTGGCCGCACGCGAAACGAACCGACCGAGGGGCGTCCCAGCAGAGGTCACACAGGCGCTCCTCGGCTGCCGCCGTCTCCCCCACCTCCTCCGCCGCTTCGACTAGCGCCTCCAGCCGCGGCAGCGCCACTGTGAGCGGCATCCGCTTCCTCTTCCGCTCGTACGCCAGCCCGACCACAAGCCGCACCAGCTCATCGGCCTGCGCCGCCGACCAGCCCGCGTCGGCCGCCGCGATGCCCTCCGCCGTGTCGGGCGCTCGTCGAGCGCATAGTCGCACGCGTTGAGCAGGCCGAGAGCGCCGCGGCCGGTCAAGCTGACGAGCAACGTGATGCCGAGCGCATAGCCGTCGGTCAGTACGCTGGCCTGGCCATCCTGCATGATGATCGGGTCCATGTAGCCGGGCTTGCCGAAGATGCGCTGCGTCGACAAGTGCGAGACCTGCTGGCTGCTGCCGGCCGTCGCCTCTGCCGCCCGCGCGAGGCCCACGTCGGCGAGGTAGCCGTTGCCGCGCTCGTCGAGCAGGATGTTGCCCGCCGAGATGTCGCGGTGCAGGATCATCGGAGAGCAGCCGTGCAGGTAGTGCAGCGCGCTCGCCGCGTCGCGCAGCACGCGGAGCCGTGCGGCGGAGGAGAGCGGCGGAGGCGGCGTCTCGAAGCCGAGCATGCGGAGCCGCTCCAGCGCGGCTGGCGTGCGGTAGAGGCGGTCCTCGAGGCTGCCGCCGCGGCAGAGGGGGTAGACGAGGCACGTGCGCTCAGGTGCCAGGCACGCTCCGAGGAGAGGGAGGAGAGATGGGTGGCACGCCGCGCTGAGCGTGCGCACCTCGCTCTGCAGCTCGGCGAGGCCTTGGGCGCCGACACCGACCAGCGCCGTCTTGACAGCGAACCCGCAAGCGACGCGCGGGAGCGACGGCAGCGCGTCGGCACGGTAGACGCGCCCGAAGCCTCCCTCGCCCACCTTGCGCGCCTCGGCAAAGTCGTCGGTCGCCGCGGTTAGCTCGTCCAGAGGGACGGCGGCGGGCGGCGCGGCGGCGGCGGCGAGGGCGGCGACACTCGACGCCGCCTCCGCCGCCTCCGCTGCCGCCGCCTCTTGAGCCTCCGCCGCCGCCACAGCCGCCACTGCTGCCTCTACAGCCGCCGCCTCCGCCGCCGCCTCCGCCGCCGCCGCTACCTCCGCTGCCGCCCTCTCCCTCGCTTCTTCCCTCTCCCTTGCCGCCTCCTCCCTTGCCCTCGCCTCTGCCTCCTCCCTTGCCCGCGACGCCGCCTCCGCCGCCTCCGCCGCCCGCACGGTGCGCGCCGCCGCATCAGCCTCCTCCGATGCCCGCGCCGCTCGCGCCGCCGCAGCTGCCTCAGCCGCCCGCGCCTCGTCCGCCGCCCGCGCCTCGTCCTCCTGCTGAGCTGCCCGCTCAGCCGCCGCCGGCGGCGCGGGGAGTAGAGGGGAAGGGTTGTCGTATCCATATTGCTCGCCTTCATCGTTACTTATCGGTCAGCGTTTTTGCGTCGGAAAGGTTGCTGGGCTCATTCATGATGTGCGCGTATGCGCAGTGCGCAGTATGCGCGGCGGGTCACGGTGATTGAGTGGTGATAATACACAACGTATCAGCCAAAGAGCGTGCTAAGGTACAAGGATGTCTGCCGTCTCGCGTCGCGGACGTCCCCAATCGAGACACGCTCCCACACAGACAGACCAGACCAAACACAAGGGCGGTCGGCCTTGCCAAGGCCTCCGCAGTGTGAAGGGAAGAGTGGGAGCGACACATGGAGTGTACAAGGGGCGCGCTAGCACTAGCAAAGCGAGGAGTCGCTCACAATAGCAGACCGGCGCGGGCAGCGACGAGAACGCAGGATACATCATTTTTGTGTGGCCACTAGTCCACCTGCTTGATCAGGAAGGTCTGGCTCGTGCCAAACCATCTGGCTCGTGCATGACAGGGCCTACTGTGGGTTGTAGACGCACGGCTTGTGGCCGCCATAGACACCCTCGGTTGCGCCCGGGCGTTCGTTCCAGTAGACTTTCAGGAATGATCCCTTGGGACTGCCCCCATCAGCGTATTTGGTATCATACCATTCAAAGCAGCCTACATTCGCTGGTGCTGGGCGTCATTTGCATGGGCAGAGCGCGCGCGTGTGAGGGGTGAAGGGCGTAACCGTGAATCCAGTTGCCGTCTTCGGTCAGTTTGCCCTCAAAAGTGTGCCCTGCGGCGGAGTTGCGGGCGGGTCGTGAGCTGCGAATGGACAACGCAGTGATGTGCTCAGGTACCCTAAGGAAGGCACCATACTGAATGGCAAGGCGCTGGCACTCGTTTGCGTCCTTGACATCGCGGTATTCAGCCGGGCACGTGACGCCAGGTACATAGGTCATGAGGATGAGAAGCTCATCCGTCCCCGAGCCCGACCAGGCTTTCGAGATGCACCTACGACAACCGCCGGGCGTCAGGGGATGTCTCGGAAAGTGCGGGTCACGGGGTCGTAGAGACGCACGGCTTGTGGCCGCCATAGTTGCCCGATGTTGCGCCTGGACGGTTGTTGTAGTAGACGTTGCGGCTTGTCCCTTTCGGGTTTCCCACGCTGGGGTACCAGTTGAAGCAGCCGTCAATCCAGTTCGTGTCGCCGTCCAGTTCAGAGATCCACACGCCGCCTGTGGCAAGAGAGTGGGCGGGCGGGTGCTGAGCATCGGTCGATAATCATCTGTGCTAACATCGAAAGGCACCATTTTGCTCGGCGAGGAGCTTGCACTCGTTTGCGTCCTGGACATCGCGATATCCATCCGGGCACGTGACGCCAGGAGTGTAGGAGAGGAGGATAGCGTACGGATCCCCTCCCTCAGTCGGAACGGTCACGGCCCCCATCGACTCCGAGACACAAGGCTTATTGCCGCCATAGGCACCCGTCACTGCGCCCGGCCGATTGTTGTAGTACACCCTCTGCCACGTCCCTGGAGGTTGAGGCTTAGTGGTATCGTACCACTCAAAGCAGCCTGAGGACAATAGAGACATGAGATGTCGAGAGAGGAGGGCAATAGGGGAGCAGAGTGGGGAGGCAGGCAGAGGCATGTGTCAAACGGAGTCAAGAAGAGGGGAGAGCCACCGTGAATCCAGTTGGTGTCGTCGTAGAGCTGCCCAATCCATTCGTATCCTGCCAGGGTGGGGGTGCATGATTGTGAGCAGCGTGTGCATGGCGAGGGCGATGACGGTCGTGAGGAATCTACTGGCACCATTCTGCTTGGCAAGGCGCTCGCACTCGTTTGCGTCCGGAACATCGCGGTAACCAGCCGGGCACGTGACGTCGGGATAGGCGAGGAGCGTAACGGCGTTCACAACGTCCACATTGGCCGGGCAGCTGGAGCAAATCGGGTAGAACTCTCCGTCGTCGCCGAGGAGAGTCTCGCCGCTTTCCGTAAACGGGCCGTCGCCGTCGCCGTCGCCGTCGTTTGCGATTTCCGTGCAATTAACTCCGCTGTCGCTCGGCACACAGCACGTACAGCTCGTCAGCTCGGCGCCGCAGGCAATGGTGTCGTCGCACTTGGGGATGGACTTGAAGGTATAGTCGAAAGCAGCACAGCAGGTGGACGGTGACTTCCACCATCCAGGGTAGTCTGCGCGGCACCCATCTTTGTTGTGCGTGTACTGAAAGTACGCTCCCGTTCCGGGGGGTTGGAAATGTTCGGCGACTATCTCCCTGGAAAACGTCGTCGAGTAGAGCTTGCATTCGCCACCTTCAAACGTGTTGTTGTCGTACTCGTTGAACCAGAACCCGTGGCATCTGAACGGCCGGGGGAGAGGGCATTTGAGGTATATGCAGAAACAAGGGGCTGGGGTGAGCGTGGGGCAGGGTGAGCGCACTCGTTCCCGGTGTCCACTGGCCACTGGAGGCATTTGCTGTTGCACTCTGCTTTTGTCAGGTAGTTGAAGGTGATCAAGAGCGGACCTGTCTCGGTATTGTCCATCTCTTCCCCAATAGTATCGTATTTGGCGCACAAGTAGATGCTCTTTCCGCCTTTGATATTTTGGTTGAAGTTGCCATTTGCGCCGGACTTGCCTTCGACGCGCGTGTAGTCTTTCGGGCAGCTCTTTGACTCGTACAACTTCAAAGAAACGAGAGCAGGTGAACCCCTCCAGGAGTCTGAGGTGGACTTTGCCTGGCACAAGTAGAGGAAGTCACCGCCCACACCGGAGTTTAGATCGGCGTTCCACTTAGTTGCGTCTTCGTTTGCACGGCCGCCGATGACATTTTCGTATTTCTTACCGGCCGCCGAACTACAATCGGTGTGTTTGCCGTTGACCACTTTGAGGTCGACGACCGCCTTCACGGCCGAGTCCTGACTGGTATGGTAGCAGAGGTACATCTTGTCCTTCGCATCCCATTTCTTCGCATCCTGATTGAGGTCGCCATTCAGCGCGCCTGCGCCCTCCACGCTCTGCCACCCGGCAGTGCTGGCGCACCCAGGGTCGCCAAAGATCCTCACATCATCGATGATGTAGGAGAGCGGTCCGGCGTTCGCACCCCCCGCCTTCCCAGGCCTTTTCGTTGTCAACTGCTCTGGCTTACAAGACGAGCGAGGGCATGACGAGCGAGGTGGAGCATTCGGGATACCGGCATTTAGATTGTAGCACGAGCACTGGGAGCAATCCCAGCCGGTGCCATTGAAGGCGCAGACGCCTAAGGAGAACCGACTCGGGGTGAGAGCGTGCGGGAGGGCGGAGGGGAGGAACGGCAAGAGAAGCACCTGGCTCGTTCGGAGGATCCAGGTCGCCGGCCGTGAAACACTCCGCCTCATCGCCATCCGGGGTGATAAGCGTGGTAAAGCGGGCCTCGGCCAGTCTTGCCGCCTCCTCAATGTCCGCCTTGCTGATCTCCGGAGCGTCCTGCGTCCCCGTGCCGATCCATGGGTCGACTTTTGCCATGATGGACCAAACCGGCACCACTTCATCGACAGTCAGCAGGTGCGGGATGTGGCTCTGTGCGTTGTTCATTGCGACACTGTCGCAGAAGTCGTCCAGCGAAGCCGTGTCTGAACCCACTCCCTTGGGCGACCCGCACGTGATTTGGGTGGACCCGAACGCTTCCCCGGCCGACACGACCATTTCGTTGCTCGTGCTGGTGAAGCTGCTCTTTTCCTGCTTGTAGTTGAAGCCAAAGACGTCAAACCCACTGTTGGAGGCTTTGTTCAAGCTGTCACTCTTTTTGGACTGGTCCATCGAGGAACTGAACCGGTATGCCCGCGCCGCCTCGCAGCCGAGCTCGAACTTCGTTGGCAAATGTGTCCCGAAGTCGTAGAAGAACGCGTCGAGATCAGAGGTGTAGTCCATTTGGTCGTCAGAAGCGATCTTCATCGCCAAGTCGAGCACAGCGGTCACGAAATACTCGGACATGTCGCAGCTTGTCAAATGACTGGTATCGATCGTGGCGTGCATGGCTACTGCACGGGCCCGGAAAGTGTACTCCTCGTCTAGTCCCTGGCTGGCAGCCTTTTCGTAGCTCTTCGTCTCTCTGGACCTTCCAAAGCCGATCTGCGTCGTCTTGGTTTGCTTCCTTGACATTCCAACGCCTCCCTTCTCTGCTTTCGTGGTCTGCTCTACTTCCTTCTCGTAGCCCCCGCCTCGTGACTGGCTCTCGCTCGCTGCCTTGTCGGCCGAGCTCGCAATGCTCGAAGTCGAGCTCTGGGTCTCCAGGGAGCAGGTTGTGAGCGGATGGTACACCGACACCGTGTCGGGCAGCGCGTAGTCCCTTTTGCCGACGCTCCACAGCTTGTTGGCGTTGTACGTGTACTTCAGGATGTCCTGCGGGGGTGCACGCAATGTGAGGCGAAGTCTCTGGCAGTGAGGAGGGAGAAAAAGGCCGAAGGCGGGCCTTGCCAAAGTTGTCCGGGTCATATCCCTTCCCAGCCAAGAAGTTGACAGCGCTGTTTTTGGTTGCCAGGCCGGGCGCGACGGGGAAGGTGGCGGTCACTTTGACGCCTCCGGAGACCGAGTCAACTCCGACTGTTGGGTTGTAAGATGCGTCGCAAAACGCGCGAATGTTAGACGGGCTGATCCCACACTGCTCGGGTTGCCATGCCCTGCACACGTTCACATCGACGCTGACTGACTCGCCATCGACTGTCACTGCTGTGAGGGCCATCCCGAGGTCGAATTCGGCTTTGGAACTCAGAGCGAAGTACACCTTGGCCGCATCCTTGATCTCCTCCAACTCCATCTCGTCGCCGTTGACGACGACTTGGTATTCGTACGTGTCGGACTCAGATGTCTCGCTCAGGCGGCGAGCGCCCGAGCCGCAAGAGACTTCGACGTTGTTGGGTCGCACGCCGAGCACCTGCGTCCGGGGTCGCATCGCTCTCCGTAAAGAGCGCGGCTGTGGGGATCCCTCCCGATCGGCTCGCCTGGAGGAGCTTGTTCTTCACCAAATTGCGAGCGATGTCGGCGCACTCGGCCGACTTGAAAGCGATCACAAAAGACTTCATTCCTTTCGGTGCGAACAGGATGTCGCGCCCCGCGCTGGCCCGCGACACTTCTGACGGGAGCGTACCGTCGCCGCCGTCCTGTGATGGCGGACAAGCAGCGGCTGTGGACTACAGAGGCTTAGCTAGATGTAGTGCAGACGAGAGGGGAAAAGGGGGGCGGTGCCGGGAGCGGCAGCGCGATCGTATTGGGCAGCATGGACGAGCAGCGTGCGAGCACAGCCCCGCCAGAGGAGTGAGCCAAGCCGGCAATGCCGCACATTCCGAGCACCGCCACGAGACCAAAGATCGTGGTCCGGCAAGGTCCTGCAGAGCTGGCGCCCTGCGATGACTGCTTGCCCTTCTTGTTCTTCTTAATCTTGATGGCGGGCTTGCCCATCGATGCGAACCGGCGGAACGCCTTGAAGAAGAGAGCCGAGATTGCCGAGACGAGCACGAAGAAGCCAGACGGGCAGGCGAAGCAGGGCCAAGAGAAGTAGTTTGTGTCGCCCGAGGGAGCCGAGTCGGACGGCTCGCAGCCGGTGGACGCCTCCTTACCCTTCTCCTTGCCCTTCTCGTCCTCCTCGTCGATCTCCGCGTTCGTCTCGGCGTCGTCGAGCAGACCGTACTTGTTGAAGACCTTCGTGGACTTGACCTCGCCCTTGCGCTCCGCCTTGTTGCGCGAGGTCGAGACGGCCCAGTCGGGCTCCTACGCATCGAACGCGGGACGGGGTCCGTCGGTGGGTCCGCAGACGCACGGCACAGAATGCGGCGCTCGCCGCCGGGGCGGGCTTCTCCTTTGGAAACTTCTTGGCCGAGACGGTCCAGCCGTCGTCGCCCTACGCAATGAAAGCGGGGTGGGGTCAAGGAGTGGTCGGCAGGCGCACGGCGCAGAAGCAAGGCGATCGCCGCCAGGGCGGGCTCCGGAAACTCCTTGATCGACGGCTGCATCTCGCCGCCGTCCGCCGCCGGCTTGAGAGCCCACTCGTCGATGCCCTGCGCGCGACGTACGACAGAGTCATGGGGTCGACCACAGTGTGTGCACGGAATGGTGCTGGGAGGCGCTCGCCGCTGGGGCGGGCTCCTCCTCCGGAAACTCCTTGATCGACGGCAGCGTCTCGCCGCAAACCGCCGCCTGCTTTAGAGCCGTGTCGATCTTGATGACCGGCTTGAGCGCCGGGTCGTTCTTGATGACGCCGGTCTCGTCAAGGGAGGCCTCCGTGCCAGACTTGGCCGCAGCCTTCTTGAGGGCGCCCTTGACGGTCGGGCGCTCAAACTTGGACCAGAAAACGGCGGTCGGGCTCGGCGCGTGGGCGGCGAACATGGCCTTGTCCGAGTCGACAGGGCCCGCGTCAGGCGCCTTCTCCGCGGCCGGGTCCTTCTTGAGGACGTCCTCCGTGCCGCACTTTGCCACGGGGATGTCCTTGACGTTCTTGACGCCGCACGCCTGTGGGCGAGGGAAAGTACGCGCAGGCTTTCGGAGACGGAGGAGGGATGATAACGATCCTGGCGAGCGCACGCGCACCTTGGCTCCGTGGAGCGAAGGCGACACCGACTCGGAGATGACGATCGTGATGCGGCCGTCGTCAGCCGGCACGATTCCGACCTTCGCGAAGGACTTCATCGGCGACAACTCGCCCGCGACTTTGCCGCCGCCCGCGTCAATGCCGTCCTTGAGCGGGCTGGGTTCGCTCTCGGACGGGATGACGACGGCCTTGGCGCCGGCCGGATCGTCGACGGTGTTAAGGCGGGACGCCTCGGGCACGGCGTCGAGCGAAACGCCGATGCCATCCTTGAGCGAGACGGGCTCGGAGGGGATGCCGACGGCGTTGCCTCCGCCAGAGTCGATGACGGTCGTGTTGTCCGCCAGAGACGCCTGTCAGCCACAGAACGCGAGAGGGTCGTCTTGCAGGGAAGGCGCAGCGTTGCGTGCGTTGCAGCGGTGCGCGTGTGCATACCCCCTCCCTCAGCCACTGCAAATTAACGCACACCTGCTTGTCAGCAAGCGGCGGCGGAGGAGAGAGCTTGAGCACGAGCTTGTCACCGGCGGCCGGCACGAGCTCGAGTTTGAGCATGTTGATCGAATGAATTCCTGCAGAGAGTCAAGACGCGGTTGTAAGGTGGTGTCCCCGATGGAGGTGCAGGCCAGCGCTCGAGTGGCCCTCGCGGCTGCGGACACAGAGTGGCACGCTCTCTAAGACGCAGCAGAGATGCGAGCAGGCGGGAACTTTGCTCGGCGGGGTCAATCTCAGGTCAATCTCGGCTCGTAGCAGGACAGGCAAGCGCCTACGGGATCGCGACCATGTGAAAGAGGGTGAAAAACTGGTCTTGAGATGTCTGGGGGTATATGGGGGTATATGGGGTATGTGGGGGTATATGGGGGTATGAGAAAATCTCGGGCAATCTCGGGCAAATCTCACACATCTCCAACCCCCCACCCTCCACCCTCCACCCTCCACCCCCACCCCCACCCCTACCGCCACCCCCGCCCCCGTCCCACCAGTACCCAAGCCTCGCTAGAGCCTCGGGTAAGGGAAAAGAAAATCGGAGAATGGCATCAGGTTTCGCATCTCTCTGTGCAGAGGACTAACGCGAGCTCTGATGACTGATTTGGACGAGAGTGTCGAGCAGGAGAACGCCGACGCGCCTACGGACCGCACGTCGCGGCGTGAGTGTCGAGACGAGGCCGCCGGCACGCTCTCTCGCGTCCTCGGCGCTCGGACTGGAGCCGGGCGGCGATTGGCGAGCAGCGAGAGCGAATCGCTCTCTCTTGCCGTAAGAAGGGAGGGCGGTCGGACGGGACAAGGGTGGGGAATGGGCAGCAGCGGACGCGTCTCGCGGCCTCCTCCATGGCAGCGGCTGTACCTGCGAGCGGGAGTGGACAGGCGATGCGAGGCCGAGGGGGTACAGCCGCTCGTGTGGCGATGCGCATCGCGTGGTGGGGGTGGTGAGGGGGCGGCGGGTTCCGTGAGCAATAGGCGTCGCGGGGGTCTAGGTGTGCAGCTCGCGGCGGCATAGTCGGGCGCAATGCGGCGCGGCAAGCGCGAGCGGACGAGGGAAGTGCCATGGCTTGCCTGGTAGCAAAGGCGTCGGGGTACAGTGTGGACGGGGGAACGTGGGGTACTATTTTCAATCAAAAAGAGCGCCTAAAGCACTACTCTATCGAGGTCTCGCGGAGCGGCAATTTTTCGTTTTTCACCGACGTGGTTCCATCAATCACGCCTGGTTTAGCCCAGGCTTGATGTCTGTTCTGCATATGTGCAGTTGGGAAGTTGCCCGACCCCGAGCTGCTGACTGGCCTCCATTCGCGTCCTGATTGCTCTGGCGTGAGATTCGAGAAAATACTGTAATGTGCGTTGTGCGGAGAGAGTGAGAGAACCAGGCACAATACCCAAGAGCCAAGTGAGCAGAGTCTTCGAGAGTTTACATGCACGTCCGCAGTCAGTAGTTTAGGTGCCCCATCTCCGCCTTGCCCTCGGTGTACGTCAGCGAGCGGCTCACAAACGGGTCGGCGCACGGCACGCGGCGCTCGATGTGGAAAGGGATGGCCTGCGCCCACGCCGAGGGCGGGCGCGCCCGCTCGGCCTGCTCTCCGCTTCCGAGCGGCTCGACGAGCTCGCTTGGCCGGTCGGGCTGCACGCAGACGCCGAGCTCAAAGGACCGGATCTCGAGCTCGTCGCCGTGCTGGCTGGCACGCTGGTAGCCCCACGGCGCGGCGGAGAGGTTCGCCGACGTGAGCAGGACACGCCGAACCGCCGGGAGGTCGCGGGTAGCCCCCTCCTCCCGGCGCAGCGGCTCGTGTAGCACGTAGAGCATCAGGTGTGGCGTGCACTGGTAGCCGCTCTTCTCTCCGGCGGCAATGACGTCGTGGCGGAGCTGGAGCTCGTAGAGCGGCAGCGCCTGCCACAAGGAGCAGCCGTGAGTCAAAACGCAGTGAGCTGTGAAGGCCCAGCTCGTAGAGCGACGGCGCCTATGCAAGGAGCAGGTGTGACTCAAAAGAAGAGACAGAGCGGGTGCCCCTCATAGAGCGGTAGCGCCTTGAGCCACTCCGGCGGCGCGCAGTCGTGCGTGCCTGGCCGCGCCTCCCCGGCGCGCGCCTTGCCGAGGATCGCCGCGTCGGCGCGGCGAGGCCAGTGAAAGGCGACTCTCCCGCCATTGGGCGCCTACATACAAAGGAAATACCCGTCGCCCCACCCCGCGTCTCCTTTTCCCGACGCTCCTGCCAGATTGGTTGCCGCAGCCGCGCACCACTTGCCGAAACGCTCCGCACCGTCCTGGCCCGCCGCCCAACCGCTAGCGCAGTGCGCGATCACGGCGACGTCGAGGCGCTCGTCGTCCGTGCGCAACGCCCGTCGGAAGCACGCGCGCAGCGCCGCTATGCCCATCGGAACCGGCGCCTCGCATGTCGCACCGCCGCTGCCGCCGCCGCCGCCGCCGCCGCCACCGCCGCCGCCGCCGCCGCCGCCGCCGCCACCGCCGCCGCCGCCGTCGTCGCCGCCGCCGCCGCCGCCGCCGCCCAGCGGAAAGGTGCCCGGGACGTGGGAGATGAGCGTGGTGCCGGCGGCGTCGGCGGGAGACGTGTCGGCGCGCTCCCATGCCGCGCGCATCTTCTCCCACACGGCCTCCCCCGCCAACCGGTTGGCTGCAGAGCCTGCGCCATGGTGCGGCTTCGACGCGTAGAGCATGTCGACGTGGTGGAGCAGCGCCGACCTGGGACACGTCTCGGACAGGTCTCGGACATGTCCTGCACATGTCGGCGTGGAGCCTCTTCCCTTGGCGACCGAAACGGCGACGGCGGCTGCCGCTGCGCGCAGCAGTCGAAGTCGGCCCAGAAGAGCCCGCACAGCTGCCGACGCCGCTCGCCGCTCCCCTCCTGTCCGGCCCCGTAGGAGCCCGCCGTCGCGTTGCCGCTGGACAGCACGAGCCGTACGACCTCGCGGGGAGATATGGGGAGATATGGGGAGATATGGACAGCACGAGCCGCACGACCTCGCGGCCGCTCCCGTCCGTCGCGACGAAGGTGAGCATCCAAAACTTGGAGTGCACCTGGCCGTGCCCCTTGGCAGCCGTCGTGTCGGCTGTCAGCCGGCGCGCGACGCGGATGCGCGGCTTGCGGCGCGCGGCGACCAGCTCGTCGAGGCGCGGGTTCTGCCTATGGGGACATGTCTCGGACGTGTCTCGGACATGACATGTCCTGCACGCGTCCAGCTCGTCGAGGCGCGGGCTCTGCCCCTCGGGAAGACACACCGAGCCCGGCACGCCTACTCTCGGCTGATCTCGGCTGATCTCGGCTGATCTAGGCTGATCTCGGCTGATCTCGGCTGATCTCGGCTGATCTCGGCTGATCTCAGCGATAGAACAGTAAAACACGCACTCGCTCGCTCGCTCTCTCGCTCTCGCTCTCGCCCCCCCCCCCTCTCGCTCTCGCTCTCGCCCCCACCCCTCTCTCTCTCTCTCTCTCTCTCTCTCTCTCTCTCTCTCTCTCTCTCTCTCTCTCTCTCTCTCTCTCTCTCTCTCTCTCTCTGTGTGTGTGTGTGTGTGTGTGTGTGTGTGTGTGTGTGTGTGTGTGAGTGTGTGTGTGTAGTGTGTAGTGTGTGCTCACCGTCCGCCGGCAGGCGACTCCTGCCGCCGAGCCAGTCCGTCTCGCAGACGGCAGGAGGGGGGTGGTCCTGCAGCAGCGGCGGGGGTCTGTCCTCTTCGGCGCCGCCGACACGCGGCCTGCGAGCAGAGATGGCGGCCTTACTGGAGGTGGGGGTGGTGGTGGTGTGGGGGGGGGGGGGTGAGGGGGGGGAGGGGGGAGAGCGAGGGTGTGTGTGTGATGAGATGCTTGATGACTACCAGGCGGAGAGAGAGCGCGAGGTGTGTGTGTGTGTGTGTGTGTGTGTGTGTGAGGCGGAGGCCTGTCCTCGTCGCATGGCGCCGCGCAGTCCGGAGGCTGCACGGCGGTGCAAGAGGCTTGCGCTGTGGCCGCGCGCGATGCAACGGCCTCGGCCGCCGCCGACTCCTCGGCCGACCCCTTCCCTGGCGGCTCCGCCTCGACGGCGGCCTGTTCACAGCTCGAGGTGTGAAGAGACGCTGTTCACAGGTACGGCTACAGCCACGACCCTCGACGGCGGCCTGCCCCCGGTGCCTCGCGTCTGGTCCCCACTGCAGCAGCACCACCTCCGCCTGCATGTGCGCCTATGGGACATGTCTCGGACATGTCGTCGACGTGTCCTGGACATGTCACCGCCTTGGCCTGGATGAGCGCCGGCGCGGCGTCGGCAACGCTCGCCGTCTGCAGCATCGCCCACACAAAGTAGTCCTATCCGGGACATGCCTCGGACATGCCTCGGACATGTCCTGCACACCGCCGCGCCGCGCCGCCCGCACGGAAGGGCATCTCCTGCACGCTCTGCGCGGCGACGACGGCGGCCGCCAGCGTCAGCCCGGGCGGCGCCGCGAGCGCGTCGGCGAGCAACGCGCCCTTAGCGCCGGGCTCTCCCCTCCCGTGCGCGCACTGCGAGACCGACGTGAACCGGATCGCTCGCAGGTCCGGCTTGTGGACCGGAGGGGCGGTCTTGCTCTTTGGCGGCGCGGCGCCGCCGACGCGCGGCCTGCGGGGCGGCGATGGCGGCGCTACTGGCGGCGTTGGTGGGGTGGGGTGGGGTGGGATGGAGGGGGGGGGGGCGGGGGAGGGAAGCGAGGTGGGGTCGGCGGGGGTAGCGATGGTGGCGACGAGGGAGCGGCGGCAGCGACGCCTGGCGCGCCCGTCGCGTGCGCGGACGAGGGCGGCGGCGGGCGGGGAGAGGAGGAAGGGAAGCAGCTCCTCCTCGTACAAGACCTTGACGCGAGGCTCGCTGCTGTTGGCCAGCTGCGCCGCGCGGCACTTGTCGCCGCTCTCCGGCCTCTCGCCCTCGCCGTTCCGCTGGCCGCCCTTCCCCTTCTCGCCTAGGAGACTTCCGAGAAAGTGCAGAGGCGGCACGGCGGATGTGCTTTTGGCGGCGTGAGAGAGGGAGAGGGAGAGGGAGAGGGAGAGGGAGAGGGAGAGGGAGAGGGAGAGGGAGAGGGAGAGGGAGAGGGAGAGGGAGAGGGAGAGGGAGAGGGAGAGGGAGAGGGAGAGGGAGGGGGGAGGAGGGGGTCAGTGGCACCTCGGCCGACGACAAGCAGATGTGCCGTCCCCACCCTCCCCACCACCTCCCCGCCGCACGACCGCACCAAGCCCACCAGCCAGCTCTGCGTCTCATGCCACGGCCCGCCGAGCCGCATGCACCCCGTGAGGCAGACCGCCAGTCCGCGCAGCGGCGCCCGCTCCTCGAGGCCGCGCCACGCCGGAGCGTCCATCGCGAGGCGGAGCAGAAAGTGGCGGTGCGCCGCCGCGGCCCGCGAGGCGGCGAGCTGCCGCGCGAGCGCGGCGAAACTGCCCTCGCCGCGCCCTCCGACGGAGAGGTGCTCCACCAGCTCGGCCTACTCCTCGTCCTTCAGTGGTGAGAGGACACACGGACTCCCCAAGGCTGGGGGGTGCCCCACCACCGCTCGGCCTCGTCCCAGCAGGCGGCCGGCACTGCGCCCGGCCTCGGCGCCCTGTTGAGCTTCCGCAGGTCCTCCCTAGCGCGGTCGGCGTCGGCGCCCTCGCCAACCACGAGGATGGCGGTGTTGCGGTTCACCTTGGAGGCGTCCGGAGATATGGGCAGATGTGGGGGAGATATGGGGAGAGTGTGTGATGACACCTTGGAGGCGTCCGGCTTGGCCGCCGACGGGCCAACAGCGTGCTGCACCTTCCCTCCGGACGAAGTGAGCAGCGCCTGCAGCGGCGCCTTCCCCCAAAACACCACGAAGTCGCCCTTTTGCCGCGCGCCGAAGCCCGCGACGGCGACGGCGGACGGCGCTCCGTCGGGACGCTCGAGGCGCCGCTCCGCCGTGGCGGCGGCGAGCCACGGCCCTCGCTCCGCCTCGAGCCGCCGCTGCACCGCCTCGAGGAGTCCCATCGCCTAGTCGCGGTCGGCGAGCGGTGGGCACCCAGACTTCCAAAGGGCCGCCCCCCCCTCCCCACGAAAACAACGGCCCCTCGCCTCGACCAGCGACGCCGCAAACTCGAGCACCTCTGCCGCGTCGGTCAGGGAAGCGGCCCGGCGGGCGGCGGCGAGGAGCGGAGGCTCGTCGCCGCCGCAGGAGAGCCGAACCACGCGCCGATGCCGCTCCTTACCCCGCTGCGTGGCGGCGGGCTCGCCGGCCGCGCGATCGCCGGAGAAGCTCACGGTGTAGGAGTGGCCACCCTCGTTTATCTGGACGGCCGGGTCGCCGCGGTGCCACGCAAACTCGAGGGCGAGCTGCGCCCGCATCGAGTACGCCGTCCATTGCCCTCTCAGCTCCACGTGCCACCCGGTGAGGCGAGGGTGAGCGCCAGAGGGCCCCGGCTGCGGCGAAGCGACCCGCTGCCGCTTCTCCCGTCCTGGCGCCGTTACGGGCTCCAGCTGCGACAAAGATCGCAGGTATCGCTCCGCAGCCTCGCAGTCGTGACGGTGTGCAGCAAGCAGCGCCTGCAACTGGTCGTCGTCCAGGTCGTTTGTCAGCTGCCGCGCGAGGGCACGGAGCCGCGCGAGGGCGCTTCGGCTGTCATCGCCGCCGCCGCCGCCGCCGCCGTCGTCGTCGGATGAGAGCTCAATCGGTACTTCTGGCATATGAAGTGCGCGCGTGCACGGGCGCGCAGGCTGCCTGAGCCCTGAACAATTATGCGCGTCCATAGACCATCCGAAGAGGGACACCGTCGAATCAGACCGAGTACGAGTGATGCCGGTTTCGGGCTCCCAGGCGTCTCGGGGCATCACAGCATACCGCGTTGGTGTCCAGTCCGAGCCTGGCTGTTCTTCACCTTCCTAACTAACTGGGTGGACGCATACTCGAGTTGCCCCGTTTGTGCCGCGTCCCGTGCCCCCGAGTTCATTTTATTTTCGAGTAGGACCAGGTAGGGGCGGGCCGCCACCGCTCCGCGTGCAGCGTCCAGCGACGGCTCGAGCCGATAAGGATATAGGGGCCGATTTTTTGCGAGTATTTTGCGAACTACTCGACAGTCCCCCTGAGGGAGGGTGTAGAGGATGTAGAGTGTAGAGCGCTGTAGAGCTGTAGAGCTGTAGAGCGCTGTAGCGCTGTAGAGCTCTACATCCGCCGCGGGACGAACTGCGTGCGTTGTAGAGCGCTGTAGAGCGCGATTTTGCTGTAGAGTTTGTTGTAGAGGCTCTACAGCTAGTCTACAGCCAAACCGCCGGGAAGGCAGTTACTCAAAGAGGTCAAGCCGCGCTAATGGGGTGTCTCCGAGCTTACTGGAGCTCTGATGGACGGCCCTGACTATCCCTGACACACAGAGAGTCACTCTGACGGCACATAACACCCTATAACTGCGTCATGACCAGCCTGCCATGCGTCGCCGGTGCCGCATTTGTCGCTGTGCTTCAGGCGGTGGACTGTCGGCTGCGAGGACGGTCGCATTTGCGCGAGGCGAGGCGAGCATTGCTGCGCGTTGCACATGCGCCATGACTCGCGCCAGCGCGTGCGGGAGCTCCTGGCTGAGCGTTGAGTCCAGGCGAGTTGCGCTGGCCACGATCGCTACGCCGAGCCGAGCTGACGCGCCGAGGCGCCGGCCAGCCGCAGCCGTGAGGCATGCCACAGCAGCAGAGGCACCTGCCACCCATTGGGCGGGCAGACAGAAGGCCAGGGCAGCACTGGCAAGTGCAACGCGCCTCATGTCGGAGAGCGACCGTGCCTCCTTCGCCGCTTTTGAGGTAGGGAGGGTGGTACCTTTCGTAAAACTGAAACGCGGAACGCGATCTGTCTCGCGTTCCTCAACGCGGCAACCGCACATCCAGGGCCGGGGAGCTAAGAAGCGCACCCAGCGGGCCGGATGATTGGCATCGGGTTGCGGGCAAGAGAGCCCTAGCCCTGGGGGGTGCGCGTTCGCAGGGCAAGGGCCGTAAAGTAAACACGGGTCTCCGAGGTTTAGTACCGCGCTCCGGGTTTCCCCTAGCAGCAGAACGCCCCCTCTACTCGGAGCTAGCAAACTACACCAGACATGGACACGCGACGACACATGAGACCACTCCACCGGTCCGCCATCCTGCCTCACTTCACAGAGCCAAGAAGAATAAGAAGCGACACATGTGGTCCGATCTACAAGGTACAACGACGACGTCAAGAGCGTGCTCAGCCCACCATGTAAATTCTTTTCCGCGCCAGTCCCGTGGCGTGTCGTGCCAGGGAGTTTTGTTGTAAAATTCGCTTTGTTGCAGGACTGCCGAGCGTCTGAGGTGTTCGCTTCGCTCTTCATCCGCACCTTCCCAGTCGCAGCACAAAAACACATCCGCGCACAGAGAATCACACACAACAGCCCGTCTTCCCTAGCGATGCGCGTCGACGCTCCCTCTCGAGTCCACCAAGGACGTCCTGGCCCAACCGAGGCCGATAGCGTGGGGCGCACCGAGCATTCGACTCACGTCTTGAAGCTCCGCCACCTCCCGCTTCGACATCAGACGAGCAGCTGCGCAAACCCCGCAGGGCTACCGACTTTGTCCCCCTCCCCCTCCCCTCGCATTTCAGACCCCGTTCACCTCCACAATGTCATAGCTGTTTGTGCATCCAATGTAAGCGCCCTCACGGCGTGCTGCTCACTAGGCACCTCGCCGAGATGCTAGCCGACTTTGGGATGCACGTTGGCTTGCCATGTGGTGACCAGATCTTATACTCCGAGGTCGGCGGCTTTGGGCGGCGCAACGACGTGAGCGGGTATTCCATTACTCGGTGCATTCAGCAGTTTTTCTACTACCTGACGTTGTGCTTGTGCGGCTTTTGGTTCTTCTGCCTTGCTTTGGCCTCCACCCAGGCATGGGGCCTCAAGATCACCGAGATCTCGACTGAAATGACGACTGAGAGCAAGTTTCCCGATGTTTACATGTGCCTCTCGGCCGAATTTCATCGCAGTCTGAAAGAGGGCTCGAGGACCATGTACGTATCGGCTGGCCCTGGCGATGACGTGATTTTCAAGCAGGCTCGTGATCTGTGTCCCGAACCTGCTGCATTCCTCAAGTTGAATGAGGGGGCCCGCCGTTCCAGTCGGGCCTGCTTGCGAGGCGGTGCTTGCAACTCATCCTACATCCAAGACAGCATGCTCAGCGAGAGCATGTGCTCAGTCCAGGAAATTGGCGTCTGGCCAGACGTGTTGACGGCGGACTACCTGAGCTTAGGGGGGGTTTCTATGGAAGAACTGGCCCCGTACATGGGTCGCGCATACGCTGCACCACCCCGTCCGGCAAGGCCGTCATCACCGCCGCCACCCTTGCCACCCCCTCCCTCTCCGCATCCGCCATCGTCTCCGCATCCGCCGGCCCCACCGCCATCGACGCCAGGGTCTCCCCAACCCCTACCTCTGAGAGTGAGTCCTCCGAGGGTGAGGCCGCTGATGGTGGAGCCCGTTAGAGGGCTGACTAAACGGCGGATCATGCGCCGGTTGTGATAATGGTCTGCCCCGTGTCATGTGGCCGTTGCATTTTCGAACGTCGGGTAATTTGTCGTGGTAGTCCGTCTTGGTGCACAGCGGCCCTCGCCCCACCTCGTACGCTTTGTTTGCGGCTTTAGCCTGTCTGCGGTTCTAGGAATGCGTATAAAAAAGAGAAGTGAGAAGCTTGCCGGTTCACTATGTTTACGCAGCGTAGGGAAGGCCTACCAGGCAATTTGTATTTGACCACCGATCCACCCACCGCCCGCCCACCCACCAGTACCAGGACCACCTCTTCGGCTCTAATTTCACACTAACTCGCTATACTCACTGTGAGGCCGTCATCGCCCGTCCCACCAGCCCATTACGCGGCCAGTGTCCTAGTCGTTTGTCTGACTGTGTTTACACACTTACCTCGATCCATTAGCCACCGCCGTGGGTGGTCCGCCGCCAAAACTGGCCTAGGTTGAACCACAGATTCGCGACCCACTTTTCGCCGCTCGTCACGTCGCACCCGCCGTGCCAGGCGTAAAAGTCCGCCGCCGCGCTGTCGGGCAGAGTGTTGTAGAAGAGCACGACGCGGCCGACTCTCGGCGTGAGCGTCAGCCCTAAAAGAGTAAAGTGAAAGGACAAATCCTCACTACTCGGCGTTGCCTTTGCTATGTCTTGAATCTAATGCGGCACCAAGCGACGTCTGACAGTTGTTGTAGTCAAGGCGCACGAACTTGGCGTTGCGCGTGAGCGGCAGCAGCTGGTCGCGCAGCGTGCCGAGCATTCCGGTGCTGCGCGTGGCTGCAGTCACGGGAAAGTTTGTCTCGCCGCCCTCAAAGCCGTCCGAAAGGTAGATGAGCGCCGTGGCGAAGCGGACGGCCGCCGGGCGCGCTCCCTGGGCGGTATGGGGAGAGGCAAACGTAAATGCGAAATGGCTGCGCGGGGGGAGGCTGGCAGTGGTGACTGGTGAGGTGAAGGAGGAGCTAGGCCGCCTGGTCCGTGTCGAGGTGGTAGTGGTAATGCTCGCCCGGCCGATAGCGGACGACCTGCATCTGCTCGGCGACGAGGTGGTGCATGCCCACGAGCGCAGCCACACGCTCTCGCACCGCGAGCAGCAGAGACGGCCAAGCGCCCACGGCGCCTTCACCACCCGCCGCCGGGGCGCCACTCGCCGGTGTCGGAAGAAGCGCGCTCTGAGAGGTGCGGTCCGAGGCGCGCTGGAAATTGGAGCGGACGCCTTGACCGTGGCGGAGCGTTGTGTCCGCCTCGAGCCTAGGCTCCGCCATCGCCCGGATGACAGCGCACTCGGACGCGTCGAGAACGCCGTCAGCCATGCTGACGCGAGGCTTCTGGCTCAGCGTCTCGAGCACGACGCTCCTCCCGCCATCGAGCGCGATGGTGCGACGCGTGCCGATGGGCGCCTGCGGCACGAAGAAAGGATATCCGCCAGACACCGCGATGAGCACGCCATCGGCAGCGCGTGCAGCGGCGAGCGCCCGAGCCAGGTCCTCGGCCGAGCTGCGGTGGTTGCGACCAGTGCTGCGGGAGGATGATTGCAGCAGGAGCTCGCCCGTGGTACTGAAGACTTGGACTTCGTCGTTTGGCAGGAACCGGCGCCACTCAATGTCGTCCACGAGTGAGACCGTGCAGAGCACTGCGCCGCCGCCGTTGGCAACGATCCGGGCGCACGCGGCACCACTTGCACACGGCTCCTCGCCGTTCGTGACTCCCGTGCAAACGAGCGCGGTACCCGCGAGCGCGGCTGCCATTGCTGCCATCACGGCCCAGTGCCTCGACGGTTGGGAGCTAGGTGCCGCCATTCCGTGATCTCCAATTGGCCATTGCCTCGCCGTGATCTCCAATTGGAAGGGCCCATATATTGCCCGTTCCCCCGGCCGTTCCCCCCGCCCCATCAATAGGGATCACGGCGTCTCTTCATGCGTCCTGCTTAGATTTGCGGCTCCCATCCCGTAAATACAAATGTGGGAAGGGGATAACTTGCCAAGGGGCACATTTCTGACCGTATTGAAGGTGGCAGTCGGGACGACGAACAGCGGTGGCGCAGACGAATCGGCCTTCGGCCCCTTGTGCGGCGAGCAGCGTCGAGAGCGGCCGCACATTGCTCGGTACCCCCCCTGCACATCTAAAGCCATCCCTGCTGCTAGGGGGGGGGGGGGTCTGACCCCCCCAGCAGCAAAGCGCTGCTGCTGGGGGGGGGGGGGTCCCCACCCCCCTAGCAGCAGAAGGCACGGAACCAGCTCTCCCGCCTCTTCGCCGCCGCCGCCCCTCCACCCTCGGCTCGTGTTTGAACGGTACCCTCCAGGCGGTTGTGTTCACCGCGCCTTCCAGCCCGGTTGGCAGTAGGAGGGCCCGCCGATGAGACCACTGATTTTGGTGTCGACCATAAATTCTCGCCACTGGAACACATGCTACTTACAGCTGCTGTCTGTACAGAGATGCCAGCACCCCCCACAGGCAGAGCGCTCCTGCTGGGGGGGGGGTCCGGACCCCCCCAGCAGCAGAGCTGAGCCCTGGTCTGACAGCCTGACAGCAAACCCGGACAGCGCCTGACAGTGCCCGACAGCCTGACAGCGCTGACAGCACTTTCTCTGACAGTCTGACAGCACGAGGCCGAGCATCGTGGAAAGGTATAAGAAGGTCTGCATGAATGACGTCGTTACGTACGTGCACGGGCAGGAGTCGCACCGGCTGCAACGGTGTCGGCGTGCAACTCGCCCACAAATCGTGTTTGGGGAATCCGGTGTTTTCTTTTTTTTCATTCTTACCTTTCAGGGGACCTGTAGAGTCAGTAGAGTCAATGAGTGGCGATGGTTATTTATTCACTTCCCACCACACAGTGCGCCTCTCTCGGTGTGTCGGTCTCACCGGACTGCCGGTCTGCCGCCCCCCCCGCCCTGGGTAGCTCACATTTGTCTTTCGTTCCTAACAACCGAGGAGGCGAGAGCGCACGGGCCTCGGGCCTGTCAGCTTGACGGGGTAGAAGGAAGATACTGATTACTTACTGTATTGCCGGAGAGACAGGTCTCTCTCGGCACTCGGGTAATCCCTCGGGAAGCCGTCGCCCGCGCCTCGCCTGTCGCGTGAATCGTGTCGTGTGACCGGCGCCAAAATTCTTTTTGTGCTTGCCTTCGAAGGTCGCCAATGGCAGGTGAGAGGCCTGACACCGCGATGGAGCCCGGCTCCGCCGCGCTCGAGCCGCGCGCGCCGCAGCGCGTGATGATCACACGCATGGTGCTCGACAACTTCAAGTCGTACGCCGGCCCCATCACCATCGGCCCCTTTGACGCCAACATGACGTCGGTCGTCGGCCCGAACGGCAGCGGCAAGTCGAATGTGATCGACGCGATGCTGTTCGTCTTTGGCTTCCGCGCCAACAAGATGCGACAGGGCAAGCTCTCCGAGCTGATCCACTCCTCCTCGCGGCACCCGAACCTGCAGTACACCAAGGTCTCGGTCCACTTCCGCGACGTCGTCGACCTGCCGGACGGCACGGTGCAGCCCGTCGAGGGCACCGAGCTCGTCGTGGCGCGCGAGGCGAAGCAGGACAACAGCTCGACCTACTGGGTCAACGGCAAGCGCGCGGGGCGCGAGGAAGTGGTGACGCTGCTCAAGCGGCGCGGCATCGACCTCGACCACAACCGGTTCCTCATCCTGCAGGGCGAGGTCGAGCAGATCGCGATGATGAAGCCGAAGGCGCCGAGCGCGCACGAGGACGGGCTGCTCGAGTACCTGGAGGACATCATCGGCTCGAACCGCCTCAAGGAGCCCATCGCCGAGGCGCAGACGCAGGTCGAGACGCTCAACGAGTCGCGCGCGGTGAGACACTTCCGAGACGCTTCCGAGACGCTTCCGAGACGCTCCCTCTCTTCCCTCGCCCACGGCGCACCTCCACCCCGTGCACGCCGCCGCTCGCACTGCCGGCCCCACGACGCTTCTTTGCGCTCCGGCATGTGCACGACGCGTCCGTGACGTGTCCGCTCTGCCCGCTGTGCCCGCCGTCTGCCGCCCCCGTCCCCAGCCCCCGTCCCAACCACCGCTACCTCCGCCTCCGCCTTCGCCGCTGCCTCCCATCGCCCTCCGCCGCCGCCTCCGCCTGCTCCTCCCCCTCCGCCGCCCCCCTCCGCCGCCTCCCCCACTCCCTCACCCGCCCCCTCTGTCCCCGCCGTGGCCCCGCAGGCCCGGCTGAATGCGCTCAAGTCGGTGCCGCTGCCGCCCTCCCGTGCTGCCTCACTTGCCTGCCACCACTTTGCGGCGGGGGTGCGCCAGGGCGTGCAAGGAGACGAGTACTCCTCCCCCCCCTCTCC